GTCACAAAGTTGGTTAGAGACCAGGCTGGAAACTAAGCCCAGATGTTCTATATCCAGGACACTTGGCCCCATGGTGCTGTTAAATATTCCCGTGTAGTTAAATTCAGGTGATGAAACGGGAGAGCATCTGTGTACTGAATGTGACTTGCATGTAATTCATGTAATAAAGATGAAATACAAACCTCTTTGCCAGCTATTTCTTTGTTACTCTAAATGCCACAACTTAGAGAAGGTTCAGTGTGAGGAGCAATCATTTCCGAATTAGTGTGGGAATTTTGCAAATAAACCTTCTTCCCAACTATCTACACTCTTTATGATTTAAATATTTCAGTCCTATCTTTTCTCACATGTTGCCCGGACAGATTAAAATCCTATAAATAGCACTGGCCTCTAAGAAATGTGCTCTCATCCCTTCCCTTTGAGTATTACCCCACTTTTCTATTCTTGACAAAAATGAAAATCCCAATCTCATGATGGCTACCTTCTTAAAGGATTTGTTTTGGGGGGGAACTTAAAGCATGTAGCTCGTAACGAAGTGAAATTTCCTTTTCTGATTTGTCTATACTCTGCCTGTACACAATTAAGGCTCCCAACTTGCTGAACATTGCTGAACTTGTTGACAGTTGAGGAGGTGGGGCGTGTATGAGCAGAGGAGAGCAGCTGCTCCTGCCAGCTGCCTTCTTCTCTGCACAGACATAAATACTGCCCAAGGATTCTCTGCAGGGCAGGAGACTGAGGACTCCTTTGAAGTTGCTAGAAGGAGACCCTTTCTGGCATTGTGCTTGGTAAATGCGTCCATACGCATGTAGGCCAAAGGGCACGGAGCCTTTCGCTGAGTGACTAAGCCAAGATTCTGAAGCCAGGCTACCTGGGTCCAAATCCTGGCTATGTCACCTAGCTTTCCCACTTTTTGACCTTAGGCAATGTATTTAACCTTACTGTCTTCAGCATCCATACCAGTTAATGGGGATACTAGTTTCTTTATAAGAGTTTTGGAGAATTACATGAATTCGGTGTTAGTAGTAGTAGTAATCCGAGCAACAAATATCAATGAAGCTTCTAATCCATTCCAGTTACCATGAACAAAATAGAAAGAGCTCCTCCCTTCCTGGAATTTAGAGTTTTTTTTACGCAGTAGGGCCCCGGATCCATTTAAGGGTTAAGAAGTCAATGGTGACATGTGGGCAGATTTTGTTTTTAATGAATAAGGATAAGATTTTACAAAATAAGGGTTTTATGAAGCTTTTAAGTATTTTTATATGTCTGTGTGGCCTGGGTCTTGACATAAAATGGTTTTCTTGAGTCTAGTAGAGAAGATAAGCAATTAAACAATAACCTCAATGCAGTGTGTGCGATAAAGTGCAGTGAGTGTCTCAGGAGCATGGGAAAGATACCTGATCCTTTTTGGGGTGCACAGAGAATCAGGAAGCCTTCCAGGAGGAAGTGACATTTAAGCCTAGTCTTAAAGGATAGCTAGAAATTTGCTAAAATAAGGTGGGGAGGTGTGTAGGAAGCAGTTCCTTTAAGAGCCATGAGGAGCTAACGGGGTTTTTGAGAAAGCCAGGAGAGACCTGCTTAGATTTGCATTTCAGAAAGACATTCTGCCTGCCTACAGACAATGAGCACAGATAGTAGGAAGACTGTTCAGTAATTTCAGGACAGGGTGGTCTAGACTCTGGGAGCAGTGGGTATTCGAGGGGGACAGCAGAAGGTGCTGGTCTGCGATGATACGCACTTGACTCACATCTCTGATGTCTGATGTACTAAGACTGCAGGGGACAAAGCTAAGTCTGTAAGGCCCAAGCTTCTAATCTGAGGAAACGGTCCTATAAACGGGAAGACAGGACCTTTCAGTCACTTTCCAAATCATCTCTCCATCCTGCTGGACATATCTGTAGACTGTCACCAGCCTAGAAATTGGCAGGGCTTCCTGTTCCAAAATGGGACAGTTCTTGGCAGGAGATGGAAAGCTGGAAAGAGAATGGAAATCGGGCTAGCCAGGCACCTTGCATGAAGAGAAAAGAAAAAAAGGAAACCTGGTACTTTCCCATCTAATCCAGAATATCCGGTCAGAAAATAATTTAAAAGGACAGATAATTCAAAGAGGTTTCTACTTGGCTTTGAAATGCCACACATTTTTGGCAGTGGGTTTGCCTTGCCAAATGTTTTTCTAAGGCCTTATTTTGCATTCCCCCAAACACAGACCATCTGGGCAGCGCGGGGCGGGGGGGGGGGGGGGGGGGGGGGATGAGTTGGAGCCCAAGAGGGGTCTGGGTGGGTGGCTGAGGAGGTCCTAATGTTTAAAAATTGGGACTGAGCCCACAACTCTTTTTCATCACCCCAGATGATCAATACTTACCTGTCTACCTGTGTCCTGCCACAAAGTAGGGAGCTCTTCTAACCTAAACCTTGACAAATCCCATGGAGATTTGAAAAGCAGCTATCTAGTTCCAGCACATGAGGTTTCCTACCCACATCTCTGAACACCCTCAGGGTCACCTCCATCCCACAGGGGGGCAGCCAGCTGACCCAGTGCTTCATAGCAACCTCAAAATCAACCCATATTTGGAGCACAAGGCAGGCTGTTTACAGATGTTACCATAAAAGACACTTTGAATTATAATCAGTCCTGTTTTACAGAAGAGCTGTAAAGGGGCCAGACCAGAGGCCCCTTTTCCTGTACTCATAAGATTGCTGTTGCCAGACAAGTTAAAAGATTAGTTTATCTTTCCTGGCTCAGGCCTACCTAGGACAGGAAAGAGTTACATTTCACTGAAGTCACTTAAACAAAGGGTCTCTGCATCAAGTCCCAATTAGGACCTAGAAGAAATGTCAGGGTGGCAGCCACTCCCTACTAAAGAATTCCAAGCATTCCCCTGTTCCTCCATCTGGAGGGTGCTATGCCAGGGTAGTGGCCTGGTCCAGGCTTGAATTCCCTGGGAATAATAAGTAACAGCCCAAATCTGGAAGTCCAGGGAAACTGGTTCTCTCCCCAGTCTGCTGTAAAATTAAGTGTTGGGTTTTTTTTTTTTCTTTTTTGAAAATGATCAGCTTTATTGAGGTATAATTGACATATAAAATTGTAAATATTTAAAGTGTGTTCCATGGTTATTTGATAAAAGCGTAGAGTGTGAAAGGATCCCCCCCCCCAACTAGTTAACACATCCGTCACCTCACAGTTTTGTGCCTGTGAGAACCTTTAAGTTCTAAGTGCTGTTTTTCATAAGCAACAGAGAAGAGGGCATTTATTAGTTCTTACAAGTCAGAACTGGTTGGTTCACAGGAAATTCATAATCCCGAAAAAGTGTTCTATGACCCATACATACATGCTTTTCAAGTATTGGTATCTTTCACTGCATGGAAACTTGTTCCTAATTAGATGAGCTGCCAAACTTAAGGAACCAATGTATATTCTGAAAAAGCCAGCATATGTTTCTTTGACTCGGTTTCCAGAAAAATTTGAGGGCATAGAGCCAGTGCACAAGCCAGGAGCAAGTCACCAGATACCCACCTCTTCCCCTCCTTTAATGTCTCCTTGATTGGAGGTGGCCAAAGGGGACTTGAGAGGTTCGCGTGAACCTTTAGAACAGATTCTCCTCTAAAATTCGAGGTATCAATCCCATTTTACACTTAACCCCTCCATTCCCCATACACACACCTCTCTGAGGTCAACCTCAGCGTGCGGCCGGGAGGGGGAAGGAAGCCAGAGCTAAAGCAACAGGTTCCGCCCACAGCGTGAATTTGGAAGGGGAGCCAGCAGGGCGAGCGGAGCTGGGCGGTGGAGGGAGAGGAAGTGGCCGAGGAAGGTGGAAGGGAAATGATGGTGCATGACCACTGAGCACACGTCACTTCGGGCTCCCATATGGGCTAGTGTCTGTGTGCGTGTGTGCTGGGGGTGGGGGGAGTCCTTCATCGGATCACTCGGGGACTTCCGCGTGGGCTAGGATGCGTCGCGCCCGCGCTTTGGGGTACCGGGAGTCTTAGGCTGGATAACGAGCCCGGAAAAGAAGGCTTGAGACGCGCCCAGAAAATATTAGTGCGTCTGGGGGTTAAAATCCGCCACCCTCCCCAGCGTGCCGCCCCTGTTAATTGGCCGGGTCTGCATCCCCAACGCTCCGTGCCCCCTTCCCTCGGCCTTTTACCGACCTTTCCAACCCTATCCCCGCCGGGCCTCCAGCCCCAGCCTGCTGCCGCGAAAACCGGGAGAACGGACTACGCCGCGCCCGGCAGCCTCTGGGCATGCTCGGTGGCGGGACCGGCTCCGCCGCCAGGAGGGCGCGTCCTCCCTCCCCCAGGGCGGCGGCGGCGCAGGCAGCTACCGCCGCCGCGCCCGGGCCCCGCACACCTTTGGGGGTCGCGAGAGCCACCCTCTCCAGCGCAGGCTGAGAGCGCCCGAGGCTTCCGGCGGGCAGAGGAGGGGCGGGTCAGGGAGGCGCGGAGGCGGGAGTGAGACCTCCGAGCCGCCTGCGGTTCCTTAGAAAGTAAAGCTCAGCTAGCGAGCAGAGCCCGGCTCCCCGTCGCCGGCGGGGGCGGGGCGAGGCGGGGCCGGGTGGGGGTGGTCTCGGCGCCCCGAACGAGGTGCGAATTCAGTGGCCGCCCACCCTCTTCTCGGTCCCGCCCCCAGGGAATTATAATTCTCTGGGAAAGTGTCTGGTTCTCCGAGAATCCTTGGGGCGGGGTGCAGGGGCGCGCCCGGCGCAAAATGGTTACAACAAAGTCCATGCGCGCTCCGGGGCCCTTCTTACGGAAAGTGTCCTTGCTGATGGCTGGGCACCCCCTTTGCTAATTTGAGGGTTAGTTCCTGGGAGGAAGTATGCTGGGGGGGTGGGCTAAGGGAAGCCTCAGGCTGGTGCCGGCTCCGATTCCCAGGCCTCGTTGGGGGGCGCACCTCCGGCCAGGCGGGCGTGGGACACTGGGCCGGGGTGATCGCGGCGGGCGGCGGGCGGCCGGAGCAGGCTCGGCGGGGCAGCTCACTCTCTGCCTCCTCCCCCCCTCCCCAGGATTACCGAGAGGATGGGATGGATCTAGGCAGTGACGCCGGCAGCAGCAGCAGCAGCAGCCGCGCCAGTTCGCAGTCCAACTCCACCAAAGTGACCCCTTGCTCCGAGTGCAAATCCTCGTCCTCGCCGGGGGGCAGCCTGGACTTGGTGTCTGCCCTGGAGGACTATGAGGAGCCCTTCCCGGTCTACCAGAAGAAGGTGATTGATGAGTGGGCGCCGGAGGAGGACGGGGAGGAGGAGGAAGAGGAAGACGAGCGCGACGAGCGCGACGAGCGGGGGTATCGGGATGACCGCTGTCCGGCCCGGGAGCCGGGGGACTTGAGCGCCAGGACCCGCGGCGGCGGCGGCGGGGGCAAGGGCGCCACCACTGTCATGCCGCCTCCCGTGCCCAATGGCAACCTCCAACCGCACGACCCCCAGGACCTCAGGCACAATGGCAACGTGGTGGTGGTGGCCGGCCGGCCCAGCGGTTCCCGGGGCCCCCGCCGGGCGGTCCAGAAGCCCCAGCCCGCGCGGAGCCGACGCGGCGGCCGGGGCCCGGCAGCTGGGGTTCTCTGCCTTCAGCCCACCGACTGCGGGACGTGCGTCCCGGAGGAGCCCCCGGTGCCCCCTATGGACTGGGAGGCACTGGAGAAGCATCTGGCTGGACTGCAGTTCCGGGAGCAGGAGGTGCGGAACCAGGGCCAAGCGAGGACCAACTCCACCTCCGTAAGTTGGCCCGGGTGCGTGCCCACGCGCGCACACACGCGTACACACCCCGCGCACTGCCCGCACGCGCCCTCCTGGCGCTCCCACCCGCCTCCGGCCCCATTCATCCTTTCCTGAGGGTGGGGGCCGGGCCGAAGAGCCTGCCTTCTGCTCCCCTGGGGTACGGTTGCTCAGTCTGGGAGCTGTCTGGGTTTGCCTGATGGGCGGAGAGGAGGGAGGGGCAGCCAGAGGGCAGCGGAAAGTCGGGTTAGTGGAACCGGCGACTCATTTTAATGGAATTACTTATGGAGACGAGGTTGTGAGTCACTTGCCTGAAAATAAATCCGGGGAGAGCTTGGCACCGAAGCCGGTGCCCTGCGGGTGATTATTTCAAGTCGTAATAGTTGTGGCTTTGTCGACCGTGGCGGGTCTCCCTTCGTTACCACTGATGTCTCGCCTATATATAGGCTGTCCCCTAGCACACGCTCACATTCGCCTGCCCACCCCTCCGGTATGGCAGCAGGATTTGGCACATCTCGCGTTTGAGCGGATGCTCCTGAATGTGAATGGGTGACCGCCCTCCTCTAAGACTTCGTTCCTTTCAGAAACCCAACCTCTTGCTGACCTGGGGAATGGGGTGAATTAACCTGCTGGGATGAGGGAGTGGTTGTTGCCTCTGTCGCCTCAGCCTCTCTGCTGAATCCCTCTTGTTTTGAAAAGGAGCCACTAGCAGTTCCTTACCGGAGGCCACTGGCTCAGTTCAGGAAATCCAGAGAGGGAGGGGTGCTGAAGTGGAACAGAGAGAGGGAGAGAAAGAGGGCTGCATCTATAAGCAGCAGCTCGGGCAGGTTTGCACTTGTCTCAACATCTTCCTTGCCCCTGAGAGGAGAGCAAATAAATGACTTAAAAGAAAAACATCATGAATGCAGCTCCGCATTAATTCATGAGTTAAAGCAACAGTTGTAATTTGAAATCGTTAATGATGTCCCTAAATGGGGCTGAAGGGCACACAGCTTCACTGCCTGCTTTCTGTGTGTGGCGGCCCTGCAGCAGTGGGGGAGAACTCTTGCTTGCAGGTGTAATTTTTCGGTTCCAGAGCCCTGGGGCTGCTGGAAATTGGGTGCATGCACTTCTGACTTCAGGGGTAAGTAACCGCAATTCCCAGAGAAACTGGCACGGTTTCCATCAGACAGAGCTCTTGGCTGACGGAGCCCACTGGTTAGTGTCCCTTGAGAAACTACCTATTAAATTAACACACTCATTCTAATCCCAGCTGTTTACCATGGCCACTAGCAGATGTGGAATCTTTCCATTACAGCCAATCCGCTCTCTTATGCCTTGCAATGGAAAACATCCGTTTCCCACTTAGTGCTTGAGAAAAATGCCTGATTAAGCTCCCTGGACTTAAACAATGACTTGAAGATAAACACATTTCATTTAGTATTGCATGACATTTTTACATTCCAGGAGAACATAATAATTGGTGCACATGCGAAGTTAGGATTTGACGATGACAGTGAGCTCCATTATTTAAAAAAGTTATTAAACAAAATGTTACTGAGCACCTGTGTGTTATGTGCTAAATGCAAGGTCTGATTCTCTGTGCTGCAGTTACATATCTGTCCATGTAAGACTTGAATTATAATGAAGAAATGTAAGAGTGCAGACTGACTCCCCTCTAGGAACTTAAAATTTAGTAAATTACTTCCCCCAACACACACACACCCACAGCCTCATTGTTGTGAAGACTATGAATCTTTCCTTCTTGAGCAATCTTTGAAACCTGAGTTATCTCTTCAACTATTGAACAATTTGCATATTTTGGCTCCCCTCCCTCCACGCCAGTCCCCCTGAAAATGTCCCCTCTGGGCATTTCCTTCACAAGTTATACAGAGAAATTTGGAACCCATTTCTTTTAAAGCAAGTATGCACAGAAAGAAGGGGGAGAGGAGAGACTTTGAGGCTGTTTAATCAATTTTACCATTTTTGGGTTTGTTAATAACAAAATTACTAGCCACTATTGATTTAGAATAGTGTTTTTCATACTGTAAGTTATTGATGAAATCATCTTAGCATTTAAAAAAATGAAATAGAATAGAATATACTACTGTCCATTGCAGATAGTTACAGTAAGCTTTGTTTTAAAAACTTTTGGTTTTATACACTGAGTCATGATCTAACACTTATTTTACTGTAGGTTGTTATCATAAAATCTGAAAAACACTGATTTAAATCCTGTTAACTCCTGCCGGGGAATAAGTGGGAGAATTTATAACTATGAGGACAGAAACTTGAGAATAACAAAGGAATCCTGTAGAAGAGAAATCCTATTTAGAAGAAGTTGTTCAAATCAAATACTTTTGCTCCTCTTTAAAAAGTTATGTACATGGGGCATCTGAGTGCCTCAGTCAGTTAAGAGTCTGCCTTTGGCTCAGACTCAGGTCATGGTCCTGGGGTCCTGGGATTGAGCCCCACACTGCCTCCCTCCTCACCGGGAGCTCCTTCCTCTCCCTCTGCTGCTTTCTCTTTTGTGCTCCCTCTCTCTCCTTCTCTCTCTGTCAAATAAATAGATAATCTTTTTAAAAAGTGAAAATAAAAAGTGTATATAAATGAATTAATACAGACTACTGGGAGGAAAGGTATAAAATGAAAAAGACAGGTATATTCTCCTTTACCTATGAAGATAACCAAATAAGCTTTTCCGCCCCATAGAAAACCCTCAGTAGGGTCGCTATTGGGAATCAAGTGGCTGGTTCCTTTCCATCATTCCAGACTACTCAGCTCTCACAGCCCTGACCACCATCCCCAAAGTAAAGTAAGGCACTGTGGTTTATTCTCTTAGTGCTTATCACTACCTGACATTATCTTGTTTGGTTCCCGTTCATTTTTGGTTTCTCTAGAATTGAGTTGTAGTGTAGAGGTCTTGCCTCTCTTTTAATTGCTGTAACCTAGTGCCTGGGATGCAGTAGGTTCTCAATGAATGAATGAATGAATGGTTTATTAGGCTCACAGGCCCCAGACTTAAGCCAAAAACAGCTGAGAAAATTGAGACCCATTGAAGTTAAGTGATTTGCTTAAGGGCCCACTAAGTAACCTAGGGAAAGCTTTCTTACACCAGACTAAGTTTTTTTTTTCTCCCTTATTTTAAGGCTAAAAACAATTTAAAGTAAAAGGGAAGAAAAGAGGCTCCCACCTCCCTAGGTTTCCTAATGACAAATCCTGTCTTATGCTTCCTTGGTAATTATTAAGGACCTAAGTAAATTAGGAATTAATCAAAATCCCGTTATTTCAGAGTCTCTTCTCACAGGCCTGCTTTAGTTTGGGTTTGTTTTGATAGACTGATGGCTGCAGCAAGACCTCAAAAGGAAGGATGAGATCTCAAAATCTCAAAATTATGTTGACCATCAGCCATTCCTAATCTAGGGAGAATTTAGAGACAAATTTAAAAACATATAACATTTAGGTAGCATTTAAATCCTAGGACTGACCTTTTTTTGTGAAAGGGTTTAAGCAGCTATTCTCTCCCTTAGTGTCAGCCGAGGAGGATGGGCTTGGACGGTGCCAGGAACTTTGCGGTCAGAGCTCTGAGGTGTCAGAGGAAGTCCTGAAGGAAACACCGGTGACTTTCCATCCTGCTATCCCGTTAGACCTCAGGTGCCCCAACCTCTTCCTTGACAGAGCAACCCCCCCCACCTTGATGTTGGAGCCTGGAAGGCAGCAAGGTTTCTTTTTTCCACTGCCTTATCCCCAGTATCTCCCTCCTGCTTGGCACAAATGCCTGACACACAGTCATGGGGAGGGTGAACTGTTCAGTGCAATAACCAGAACGACTCCCAGAAGTGCCCCCTCCAGCTGGCCAGCCCCTGCTCCTCTGGTTTCCCCCTGTTTCTCACAGTCCTTCCAGGGGACCTGCTTCAGCATCAGGGGCCACGGGATGAGTTGGAGCCCAAGAGGGGTCTGGGTGGGTGGCTGAGGAGGTCCTAATGTTTAAAAATTGGGACTGAGCCCACAACTCTTTTTCATCACCCCAGATGATCAATACTTACCTGTCTACCTGTGTCCTGCCACAAAGTAGGGAGCTCTTCTAACCTAAACCTTGACAAATCCCATGGAGATTTGAAAAGCAGCTATCTAGTTCCAGCACATGAGGTTTCCTACCCACATCTCTGAACACCCTCAGGGTCACCTCCATCCCACAGGGGGGCAGCCAGCTGACCCAGTGCTTCATAGCAACCTCAAAATCAACCCATATTTGGAGCACAAGGCAGGCTGTTTACAGATGTTACCATAAAAGACACTTTGAATTATAATCAGTCCTGTTTTACAGAAGAGCTGTAAAGGGGCCAGACCAGAGGCCCCTTTTCCTGTACTCATAAGATTGCTGTTGCCAGACAAGTTAAAAGATTAGTTTATCTTTCCTGGCTCAGGCCTACCTAGGACAGGAAAGAGTTACATTTCACTGAAGTCACTTAAACAAAGGGTCTCTGCATCAAGTCCCAATTAGGACCTAGAAGAAATGTCAGGGTGGCAGCCACTCCCTACTAAAGAATTCCAAGCATTCCCCTGTTCCTCCATCTGGAGGGTGCTATGCCAGGGTAGTGGCCTGGTCCAGGCTTGAATTCCCTGGGAATAATAAGTAACAGCCCAAATCTGGAAGTCCAGGGAAACTGGTTCTCTCCCCAGTCTGCTGTAAAATTAAGTGTTGGGTTTTTTTTTTTTCTTTTTTGAAAATGATCAGCTTTATTGAGGTATAATTGACATATAAAATTGTAAATATTTAAAGTGTGTTCCATGGTTATTTGATAAAAGCGTAGAGTGTGAAAGGATCCCCCCCCCCCAACTAGTTAACACATCCGTCACCTCACAGTTTTGTGCCTGTGAGAACCTTTAAGTTCTAAGTGCTGTTTTTCATAAGCAACAGAGAAGAGGGCATTTATTAGTTCTTACAAGTCAGAACTGGTTGGTTCACAGGAAATTCATAATCCCGAAAAAGTGTTCTATGACCCATACATACATGCTTTTCAAGTATTGGTATCTTTCACTGCATGGAAACTTGTTCCTAATTAGATGAGCTGCCAAACTTAAGGAACCAATGTATATTCTGAAAAAGCCAGCATATGTTTCTTTGACTCGGTTTCCAGAAAAATTTGAGGGCATAGAGCCAGTGCACAAGCCAGGAGCAAGTCACCAGATACCCACCTCTTCCCCTCCTTTAATGTCTCCTTGATTGGAGGTGGCCAAAGGGGACTTGAGAGGTTCGCGTGAACCTTTAGAACAGATTCTCCTCTAAAATTCGAGGTATCAATCCCATTTTACACTTAACCCCTCCATTCCCCATACACACACCTCTCTGAGGTCAACCTCAGCGTGCGGCCGGGAGGGGGAAGGAAGCCAGAGCTAAAGCAACAGGTTCCGCCCACAGCGTGAATTTGGAAGGGGAGCCAGCAGGGCGAGCGGAGCTGGGCGGTGGAGGGAGAGGAAGTGGCCGAGGAAGGTGGAAGGGAAATGATGGTGCATGACCACTGAGCACACGTCACTTCGGGCTCCCATATGGGCTAGTGTCTGTGTGCGTGTGTGCTGGGGGTGGGGGGAGTCCTTCATCGGATCACTCGGGGACTTCCGCGTGGGCTAGGATGCGTCGCGCCCGCGCTTTGGGGTACCGGGAGTCTTAGGCTGGATAACGAGCCCGGAAAAGAAGGCTTGAGACGCGCCCAGAAAATATTAGTGCGTCTGGGGGTTAAAATCCGCCACCCTCCCCAGCGTGCCGCCCCTGTTAATTGGCCGGGTCTGCATCCCCAACGCTCCGTGCCCCCTTCCCTCGGCCTTTTACCGACCTTTCCAACCCTATCCCCGCCGGGCCTCCAGCCCCAGCCTGCTGCCGCGAAAACCGGGAGAACGGACTACGCCGCGCCCGGCAGCCTCTGGGCATGCTCGGTGGCGGGACCGGCTCCGCCGCCAGGAGGGCGCGTCCTCCCTCCCCCAGGGCGGCGGCGGCGCAGGCAGCTACCGCCGCCGCGCCCGGGCCCCGCACACCTTTGGGGGTCGCGAGAGCCACCCTCTCCAGCGCAGGCTGAGAGCGCCCGAGGCTTCCGGCGGGCAGAGGAGGGGCGGGTCAGGGAGGCGCGGAGGCGGGAGTGAGACCTCCGAGCCGCCTGCGGTTCCTTAGAAAGTAAAGCTCAGCTAGCGAGCAGAGCCCGGCTCCCCGTCGCCGGCGGGGGCGGGGCGAGGCGGGGCCGGGTGGGGGTGGTCTCGGCGCCCCGAACGAGGTGCGAATTCAGTGGCCGCCCACCCTCTTCTCGGTCCCGCCCCCAGGGAATTATAATTCTCTGGGAAAGTGTCTGGTTCTCCGAGAATCCTTGGGGCGGGGTGCAGGGGCGCGCCCGGCGCAAAATGGTTACAACAAAGTCCATGCGCGCTCCGGGGCCCTTCTTACGGAAAGTGTCCTTGCTGATGGCTGGGCACCCCCTTTGCTAATTTGAGGGTTAGTTCCTGGGAGGAAGTATGCTGGGGGGGTGGGCTAAGGGAAGCCTCAGGCTGGTGCCGGCTCCGATTCCCAGGCCTCGTTGGGGGGCGCACCTCCGGCCAGGCGGGCGTGGGACACTGGGCCGGGGTGATCGCGGCGGGCGGCGGGCGGCCGGAGCAGGCTCGGCGGGGCAGCTCACTCTCTGCCTCCTCCCCCCCTCCCCAGGATTACCGAGAGGATGGGATGGATCTAGGCAGTGACGCCGGCAGCAGCAGCAGCAGCAGCCGCGCCAGTTCGCAGTCCAACTCCACCAAAGTGACCCCTTGCTCCGAGTGCAAATCCTCGTCCTCGCCGGGGGGCAGCCTGGACTTGGTGTCTGCCCTGGAGGACTATGAGGAGCCCTTCCCGGTCTACCAGAAGAAGGTGATTGATGAGTGGGCGCCGGAGGAGGACGGGGAGGAGGAGGAAGAGGAAGACGAGCGCGACGAGCGCGACGAGCGGGGGTATCGGGATGACCGCTGTCCGGCCCGGGAGCCGGGGGACTTGAGCGCCAGGACCCGCGGCGGCGGCGGCGGGGGCAAGGGCGCCACCACTGTCATGCCGCCTCCCGTGCCCAATGGCAACCTCCAACCGCACGACCCCCAGGACCTCAGGCACAATGGCAACGTGGTGGTGGTGGCCGGCCGGCCCAGCGGTTCCCGGGGCCCCCGCCGGGCGGTCCAGAAGCCCCAGCCCGCGCGGAGCCGACGCGGCGGCCGGGGCCCGGCAGCTGGGGTTCTCTGCCTTCAGCCCACCGACTGCGGGACGTGCGTCCCGGAGGAGCCCCCGGTGCCCCCTATGGACTGGGAGGCACTGGAGAAGCATCTGGCTGGACTGCAGTTCCGGGAGCAGGAGGTGCGGAACCAGGGCCAAGCGAGGACCAACTCCACCTCCGTAAGTTGGCCCGGGTGCGTGCCCACGCGCGCACACACGCGTACACACCCCGCGCACTGCCCGCACGCGCCCTCCTGGCGCTCCCACCCGCCTCCGGCCCCATTCATCCTTTCCTGAGGGTGGGGGCCGGGCCGAAGAGCCTGCCTTCTGCTCCCCTGGGGTACGGTTGCTCAGTCTGGGAGCTGTCTGGGTTTGCCTGATGGGCGGAGAGGAGGGAGGGGCAGCCAGAGGGCAGCGGAAAGTCGGGTTAGTGGAACCGGCGACTCATTTTAATGGAATTACTTATGGAGACGAGGTTGTGAGTCACTTGCCTGAAAATAAATCCGGGGAGAGCTTGGCACCGAAGCCGGTGCCCTGCGGGTGATTATTTCAAGTCGTAATAGTTGTGGCTTTGTCGACCGTGGCGGGTCTCCCTTCGTTACCACTGATGTCTCGCCTATATATAGGCTGTCCCCTAGCACACGCTCACATTCGCCTGCCCACCCCTCCGGTATGGCAGCAGGATTTGGCACATCTCGCGTTTGAGCGGATGCTCCTGAATGTGAATGGGTGACCGCCCTCCTCTAAGACTTCGTTCCTTTCAGAAACCCAACCTCTTGCTGACCTGGGGAATGGGGTGAATTAACCTGCTGGGATGAGGGAGTGGTTGTTGCCTCTGTCGCCTCAGCCTCTCTGCTGAATCCCTCTTGTTTTGAAAAGGAGCCACTAGCAGTTCCTTACCGGAGGCCACTGGCTCAGTTCAGGAAATCCAGAGAGGGAGGGGTGCTGAAGTGGAACAGAGAGAGGGAGAGAAAGAGGGCTGCATCTATAAGCAGCAGCTCGGGCAGGTTTGCACTTGTCTCAACATCTTCCTTGCCCCTGAGAGGAGAGCAAATAAATGACTTAAAAGAAAAACATCATGAATGCAGCTCCGCATTAATTCATGAGTTAAAGCAACAGTTGTAATTTGAAATCGTTAATGATGTCCCTAAATGGGGCTGAAGGGCACACAGCTTCACTGCCTGCTTTCTGTGTGTGGCGGCCCTGCAGCAGTGGGGGAGAACTCTTGCTTGCAGGTGTAATTTTTCGGTTCCAGAGCCCTGGGGCTGCTGGAAATTGGGTGCATGCACTTCTGACTTCAGGGGTAAGTAACCGCAATTCCCAGAGAAACTGGCACGGTTTCCATCAGACAGAGCTCTTGGCTGACGGAGCCCACTGGTTAGTGTCCCTTGAGAAACTACCTATTAAATTAACACACTCATTCTAATCCCAGCTGTTTACCATGGCCACTAGCAGATGTGGAATCTTTCCATTACAGCCAATCCGCTCTCTTATGCCTTGCAATGGAAAACATCCGTTTCCCACTTAGTGCTTGAGAAAAATGCCTGATTAAGCTCCCTGGACTTAAACAATGACTTGAAGATAAACACATTTCATTTAGTATTGCATGACATTTTTACATTCCAGGAGAACATAATAATTGGTGCACATGCGAAGTTAGGATTTGACGATGACAGTGAGCTCCATTATTTAAAAAAGTTATTAAACAAAATGTTACTGAGCACCTGTGTGTTATGTGCTAAATGCAAGGTCTGATTCTCTGTGCTGCAGTTACATATCTGTCCATGTAAGACTTGAATTATAATGAAGAAATGTAAGAGTGCAGACTGACTCCCCTCTAGGAACTTAAAATTTAGTAAATTACTTCCCCCAACACACACACACCCACAGCCTCATTGTTGTGAAGACTATGAATCTTTCCTTCTTGAGCAATCTTTGAAACCTGAGTTATCTCTTCAACTATTGAACAATTTGCATATTTTGGCTCCCCTCCCTCCACGCCAGTCCCCCTGAAAATGTCCCCTCTGGGCATTTCCTTCACAAGTTATACAGAGAAATTTGGAACCCATTTCTTTTAAAGCAAGTATGCACAGAAAGAAGGGGGAGAGGAGAGACTTTGAGGCTGTTTAATCAATTTTACCATTTTTGGGTTTGTTAATAACAAAATTACTAGCCACTATTGATTTAGAATAGTGTTTTTCATACTGTAAGTTATTGATGAAATCATCTTAGCATTTAAAAAAATGAAATAGAATAGAATATACTACTGTCCATTGCAGATAGTTACAGTAAGCTTTGTTTTAAAAACTTTTGGTTTTATACACTGAGTCATGATCTAACACTTATTTTACTGTAGGTTGTTATCATAAAATCTGAAAAACACTGATTTAAATCCTGTTAACTCCTGCCGGGGAATAAGTGGGAGAATTTATAACTATGAGGACAGAAACTTGAGAATAACAAAGGAATCCTGTAGAAGAGAAATCCTATTTAGAAGAAGTTGTTCAAATCAAATACTTTTGCTCCTCTTTAAAAAGTTATGTACATGGGGCATCTGAGTGCCTCAGTCAGTTAAGAGTCTGCCTTTGGCTCAGACTCAGGTCATGGTCCTGGGGTCCTGGGATTGAGCCCCACACTGCCTCCCTCCTCACCGGGAGCTCCTTCCTCTCCCTCTGCTGCTTTCTCTTTTGTGCTCCCTCTCTCTCCTTCTCTCTCTGTCAAATAAATAGATAATCTTTTTAAAAAGTGAAAATAAAAAGTGTATATAAATGAATTAATACAGACTACTGGGAGGAAAGGTATAAAATGAAAAAGACAGGTATATTCTCCTTTACCTATGAAGATAACCAAATAAGCTTTTCCGCCCCATAGAAAACCCTCAGTAGGGTCGCTATTGGGAATCAAGTGGCTGGTTCCTTTCCATCATTCCAGACTACTCAGCTCTCACAGCCCTGACCACCATCCCCAAAGTAAAGTAAGGCACTGTGGTTTATTCTCTTAGTGCTTATCACTACCTGACATTATCTTGTTTGGTTCCCGTTCATTTTTGGTTTCTCTAGAATTGAGTTGTAGTGTAGAGGTCTTGCCTCTCTTTTAATTGCTGTAACCTAGTGCCTGGGATGCAGTAGGTTCTCAATGAATGAATGAATGAATGGTTTATTAGGCTCACAGGCCCCAGACTTAAGCCAAAAACAGCTGAGAAAATTGAGACCCATTGAAGTTAAGTGATTTGCTTAAGGGCCCACTAAGTAACCTAGGGAAAGCTTTCTTACACCAGACTAAGTTTTTTTTTTCTCCCTTATTTTAAGGCTAAAAACAATTTAAAGTAAAAGGGAAGAAAAGAGGCTCCCACCTCCCTAGGTTTCCTAATGACAAATCCTGTCTTATGCTTCCTTGGTAATTATTAAGGACCTAAGTAAATTAGGAATTAATCAAAATCCCGTTATTTCAGAGTCTCTTCTCACAGGCCTGCTTTAGTTTGGGTTTGTTTTGATAGACTGATGGCTGCAGCAAGACCTCAAAAGGAAGGATGAGATCTCAAAATCTCAAAATTATGTTGACCATCAGCCATTCCTAATCTAGGGAGAATTTAGAGACAAATTTAAAAACATATAACATTTAGGTAGCATTTAAATCCTAGGACTGACCTTTTTTTGTGAAAGGGTTTAAGCAGCTATTCTCTCCCTTAGTGTCAGCCGAGGAGGATGGGCTTGGACGGTGCCAGGAACTTTGCGGTCAGAGCTCTGAGGTGTCAGAGGAAGTCCTGAAGGAAACACCGGTGACTTTCCATCCTGCTATCCCGTTAGACCTCAGGTGCCCCAACCTCTTCCTTGACAGAGCAACCCCCCCCACCTTGATGTTGGAGCCTGGAAGGCAGCAAGGTTTCTTTTTTCCACTGCCTTATCCCCAGTATCTCCCTCCTGCTTGGCACAAATGCCTGACACACAGTC